ATCTGCAAGGCTGGGCCCAGTCCCCACACAGAGTTCCACTGACGTTTGAAGCCTCCTCGTGTTGATAGGAGGATACAGTGGGCAGATCCCTTTCAGCAAGAAGGCTGCAATGTCTCTTCCCAAACACTGGAATTCTATGATGTTTACAGATTAATTGTATATATTACAAAATAAGCTCTGTGGTTCGTATACACCTTAAAATTCAGAAATCATTTAGGAAAAGTTAATTCAATTGTAGAAATTACTTTTACCTGGATAATCAGAAGTATCACTGACGTATGGTGTTATTTTAATGACCAAGATTAAATAATATTATTAAAGTAATTAGCTGATCTCTTCTCCTTTAAATTTCCTCATGATAAAGTCAGTGAATTAGTTACCAAAAAAGACTTTATTTAAAGACAAATAAATTATGTTCTTACATAGTTTGTTTTCTTATTTAACAGTTAAGGCCACTGAAAAAAGCAGTTATGTTCCTGATACTAGAATGTTGTCATACCATAAATGATTAACTATTTTTAAAAGAATAACTATCCTCTTTTGAAAGAATAATGGAAAGCTATCTTCAAAACAATCCAGCTCAGCACTCTCATATTAAAATCAATCAGAAAATACTGCAAAATTTACACAGCTGTTCTATTGGCCTCTTCACTTGCAGATCTCTTAAATAACAAGCTCAACACTAACTGTTTTAGGAACGCTAATTACTACACAAACTTTGGGTGGGGCTTGAGCATTCAACAGAGGTTTGCAGATTTCCTCCCTGAAGCCAGGTCACAGCTTTGAAAATTCCAACCATTCTTAACAAGAAATGTGACTCAACACCACTCTGCAAGGTACCGATGGTGACATGTAAATAAACATAAAAAACTTCCACATTCAGCTGGGAAGCCTGTTCATTCTGATAACCAGGATTTTTGGTCTAAAGACATTTATTTATATCCTGTTCAGTACTATGAGTGAATGCCTTTTCTTGTTTTCACTATGATTTCAGTGACGATGACACAATGAAATACCAGAAATACTAATATCCTCAATATGACTAGCAACTGTGGAATAACACATATTAGAACTGTCAATCCAGGCTAATATTCAGTTGCCTCAGATAAAAAACGATTACAGAACTCAGAGATAACCTGCACCCTTTGATCATCCAGGTCTCCAGATGCAAGTCCTCTGAAGGTAACAGAGATGCCTTGAACATAAACCTGGGGAGAATGAGGTAACTAGTGAAATTCTAAATTGGAAAATACTTTCATCTGGTTCATGGGTCAAAAAATTTAGCAAATCCAGGCACTCTGTACTCACTACAAGCTACTACTAAACCTTCCTTAGTGAAGCTAAAATGTCCTCTTTGCTACAGAACTGAACAAATAACATTCATCTGGTTTTGATGAAACTTAACTAAACTGGTTGTTTTCCTGTATCTTCCAGAGGCTTATGACAGCAAGGTCAGCTGAGCAGAAAAACTGAAATCAAACCAAGAAGATCTTGAGAGTAACTAACTAGACTCAATCACTTTGATCCTCCTGCAGACTTCATTTGTGAAGATTTACATTGCTTTAAGTTGGATTCACAGCTTGAGAGACAAAGGTTTCAGCCTGGAAAACCAAACAGGAGTCAAACAAATTCAGAGTTTACTGCAAAAAGCTAATTTAAACACTTTTGTTAAAGCAGGTAGGACTAATGAGCCAGCTACAATGGGAAAATGATTAATTCTGAGTAAAGTGAGCCGATTTGCAGGAGTCTAACCAAACATCAGAATACAGAAACTATTTTAATGGATTAGAGCAGATGTCTGCCTAGTCTGAGGAGGACAGCAGCAGAATATGAACTCTGTACCAGAGAGGTGTGAGATAATCTACCTTCCATATTAAGTCCAAATTTTACTTGAAATATATAGATTGGCTGAAACCTACCATGATGTAGAGAATAATGTTCAACTTAACAGTAGACTAATAGCTGATGGAAATACCTCTTCTGAAATGCTTCGTGCAATTCTGTGTGTCCTAATCCCCCTCCCCAATTAAAAAGATAAAAAAGGTTAAGAATTTGCAAAAAACAGAAACAAAAATCTTCTACAAGGAAAAGGAATAGAATATGAAAATATTTGTATATAGGGAAAGAGTAAGAATAATTACCAGTATAAGACATATTACAATATTTACTTCCCTATAACAGAGATACTAATAAAACTGAAATGAAAAATTCTTGTATTATAAAAAAAATGTAATTTTTATAAAGTATAATTAATTTACAAAACATCTTAACACAGCATGTTCTCAAATCTAAGAGTTTAGAGAGGTCATATGCATCCTAGATGTGCATCATTCACTGTCAGATAACTTTTAGGAAGAAACCTAATTTTTATAATCCCTTATCTCTAAGTGCACACTGTATTTTTTCTGACATTGACTCTTGTCAAACCTGAGTTCTGAACTAAATCAGTAAAGAATGGTCCATCATAGCAATTTGTGCTGCTTTAAGGCATGAATAAGTTACCTTCAGTTTCTCTGTAATATGGTTTCCTTATGCAAAAATTGAAAATAACCATCAGTATTTCTAGATAGGAAGATGAGATGATGAGAGTTATTACTTGTGTTTTCTGATCCATGACTGAAAACATGATGTTGCTGTTTAAAAAAAAAAAAATCCAACAAGTATAACATACTCATACTGGCTAAATTGATTTATATGGTTTGAACAATGTTCAGTCCTTCTGTAATGGCTTTATTCTCCTTGCATTTATGCAAAAGGCAGGTTCCAGAGCTACATTCCTGTATCTCCTAAAGACTGCTCAAGATCTCACACATGATGAAGACACACTAAGCAGTGAGGATGCAGCAGAGCACATTCCCCAATTATGTGTTCAACAACAGTGTCAGTGTCACCCAGCAGTAAAGGGGAAGAAAATAGAGATTCTTTGAGGGATTTGCCATGGAAAGAACCTGCCTGTCGACTTAGTGTCAGCAGACAGTCAGAAAAAATCCAGATCACCCCACCTTTTTTTCCCACACTAGTTTCCGTGACCTTTCTTAAAAGTGGGCCAAGATCACAAGCTTGCCTCTTCTTCTCTGAAGGTTTTGGGTCTTCTCCCTATCTTTGTGGTTCTTTGCATTTTTAATTACTTATCTGTTTTTCCAAAACAGAAGGACCTGAAAATTAAACTTGCAAAGTGTACAGACAAACATTGTATAACTCAAGCAGACATGTACCAGGACATGCAACTAAATATGAATTCGGCACAAGCTGAAACACAACATTTATGACAAGATTGTTGATTAGTCAGCTGCAATGGTCAGAAGCAGAAAAGGTTCTGGGCAAGGTTAAAATTAAAAAACAAATATTGTGAAGCTGCAGGTTTAACTAATACAGTAGAGAACACTAGGTAAATTAATCTGGAAATAGTATGGAAGTTACATTCCATGTTGAAGTTACTGACAAGGGCAGAGGCACAGGGGGTTGGCAGGAAAGCTGACAAAGTCCCATGGCTACTGGAGATCTGGTCCCTGATTCACAGCTCAGGCACAGCTGATCACCTCTGTTAGCAGTGTTGCAGAGGATGAAAATAATCACCTGCGCCATGGACAAGATCAACACACAATAAATTTCACAGTGTTTTTCCACAGGTTCATAAACCGTATGTCTGAATACAGGGAGTTCAAAAACCATATGGACAATCAATTTAGATGTAGACTCTGTAGTATCATTTCCCCAGAACAGAACAACATTTGACATACTTATCCCTTTTTTTCACCATAAGTGGCCCAAAAATCCGAGATCAGTTCTATGGGTGATGCATATTTATTTGGAGGCACTTCTTTGGCTGAAAAGCAGAGGTGCAGCAGCTAACACAGCAGGCTGGGAAAATGAACTCCTGGTTCAGGAACCCAGATAATTTATGTATGGTACTGTGGGAGATTAAATATTCAGGAATACTGTCATCTTTGTTCCATCTTCCAAATGTTAACATCTCTAATTTTCGTACTATATTTTGAGGGATTTTGTTTTCATGTGGATTGGAAAATACCTTAACTGTATTTTGTTACAAAGGACAGACCCCTATACCTAGAGGGTCCTTATCATTTATGAGGAGACACAAAACTTCAGCTTCACAAACTTATCTCACATACACAGTTAAAACCATTGTTAATACATCCTGAACAGGAAGAATAACATTTGGCAGCTTTCTTAAAGAAATCCTCAGTAACAGCGTAAGGGATGGGAGCTGTCAGGTGTGCTGCTCGCTGTCCCTCTGCAGCCTCCGGGCACTTCACACCTCCCGGACAGGTAAAGCAGCACCTGCAGGTCACCCCGCAAGCTACCGGCCTTGTGCTGCAGTTTCAGTTCCAGACCCGTGTCTTCACGCATTACTTTTTCATGCTAATTCACGCAGGCGGTCGTTTCTTGTGTAAGGGGAGCTCCTCTGCACCGCCGGTTTGCTCTGCTCTTTGCCACCGCAACCTTTGCCCTTGCGCGGGAGGATGGAGCAGAGTGCGGGAGGATGGAGCAGAGTGCGGGAGGATGGAGCAGAGTGCGGGAGGATGGAGCAGAGTGCGGGCTGCCCCACCATCAGCCTCCTCCTCTGCCACGCCGGGGCTCGGCCCCGCAGCGCAGGCCGGGTGAGCCGGCCTCCGGCCCTCACACCTTCCACCCCACAGCGGGTCAGTCCCGCTCAGGCTGGCCTGGAACGATGGGGCTCTTCCCTCTCTACCTGCCTGAAGGAGCTTTCCCCACAACCACCTTGTCCCTGGGCAGACTCTCCTCATCACCCAAGGGAAGGGGCTTTGCCCTTCGTCACAGCTCCCTGAGCAGGAGCCTCTGCCGCGGTCCCCTCACCACCTCGGTGCCCTCGGCCAGAGGTACCCCCCCGTTTCCCCTAGGAGAAAGGCTCCGTCTCCACACTCCGCTGCAAGCCAGGCCCCCTCTACCGCCAGAAGCCCCTGGAGAAGGGGGACTCCCCCTCTCCCCCCGCCCAGGCGACTGCGACTGGCACTGACCCGTCTCTGCCGTCCTGCTCCTCTCCGCCATATTTGTTGTCATCCCGCCACCCCCCCAACGCCGCCCGGCCGTCGCCATGGCAACGCGCGTCACGGCCTTGGGGGAGCCCCGCGCCCCCCCGACATGGCGGCGGGGCTGAAGGCCCTCCCCCGGGACAGGGGAGCCTTCCCTGGGAGCGACCTCCTGGGCTCATCCTGCCCGGAGAGAGCCTTTCCCGAGAGCGCCTGCCCGGGACAGCCTGCTCGGGAACCAGCGTCCGTTCCCACCCTCGCCCAGCCCGGCAGCCGCCGCGGTGGTGGCGGGCGGGGCGTGAGGGGAGTACCGCCGGCCGCCCGCCCCTCACGCAGCGCGGCTCCCCCCTGCACGGCCACGGCCGCGCCCGCCCCGCCTCCCGCGGCCGCTGTTTACCGCCGCTGCTCGGACGGGCAAGGTGGAGCTGGTTCTCTATTCCGTGGTCACTGTTCTCAATCTCGGCAATTGCCGTCACTGCGCCCCGGAGGACGGGTTGTACTGGTGCTGGAGCTCCTCCGGAGGCCCGTGCCTGCCCATGGGTGTCGGTGTGGGCCTGAGGTGCTCACGGGGCGCTGAGGAGGAGAGGCTCATTATCATAGAATAGCAGTTAGGTTGGAAAAGACCTCTGAGATCATCGAGTCCAATCAAAGACCAAACACTACTGTGTCAAGTAGACCATGGCACCGGGTTCTGTCCAGTCTTTCCTTTAACACCTCCAGGGACAGCGACTCCATCGCCTCCCTGTGCGGTCCGTTCCCACGTCCAGTCACCCCTTCTGTGAAGAAATTCTTCCTATTGCCCGATGTCCCGGTGTTTCGGAGGTGCACGTCCCCCTCCACACAGCTCAGGGCAGCGGGGAGCAGAGGCGGCCTGTGTGGGCTCGGTCTGTGTTGCCCCAGGGGAAGGGAGCGCATCCCTCCTGCTCCGATTCCAGCCTCCTGCACCGAGGTGCAGCACCGGCAGAGATGGCCAATTAGTGTGTACGTGACTGCCCCACCCTGCCCCAAAACTCAGCAGGTGAGTCTGGTCATGTGGCAGTTATGTCAACTTTTATTTTATATTTTTTTTAAACTTCTTAAGGCAGCCCAGTGGGGAAGCTTCATTATGTGTGTGAGTGTTGCCCGTCTGTCTCCTTGCCCCAGCCCCAGCAGGTGAGCCTGACCATATGGCAAATGCAGTGCCGGGGACGGGAGGGCTTCTGTGTGCGCGTGTTCGCGGGCCCGCTGGGTGACACTCACCATGTGGCAAACACGGCGATGAAGGCTCTGGTGCACAGGGGCTAATTATGTGTGTGAGTCCCGGGGGACCCGGCAGGCTGGGTGTGATCATGCGTGTCTCACTAATGCTGAGGCGCAAGCTCCATTGTGCATCCTCTGCGCAGACAACTCCAGCCTCTCGGAAGCGAGGCTGACCACGGGACGAGCGCAGTGTTACAAGCACAGGCATCAAGACTCGTGTTTATGTGCATACACAGGCAGACGTGGGGCTGAATGCACCCCGAACCAGGTGGCTGTTAAAACTCTGAAGCGGAGAGTACACGAGCAATGCTAAGCAATGGAAACAGACAGGACTGTGTTTATGGTGATGCACACACTCAGGTGTTTGCTTCCTTAGATCTAGTAAATTCATGTAACCACTTCCTAGTGACCAGTGACTAGTCAGAGGAACAATCCAAGATTAAAGAATAAGGCATGTAAAATTATATCTTTCTCCATCTAAGTTATGCTATTTAAACATCACTTTACCTCTTTGTCTTCCTACCTAGCATATGCCTTTTCTGGTCCAGTTCAGCTCCTCTTAACAGCACTCACATGGATAATACCTAGACGTTCTACATGCTTAGATTTTTCTGTGGGGTTAGTTACTTCCTTTCTCCCTGGAAAAGAGAAAGCCTGCTCCTTTTTGAAGCCTTGTTCATTCTTCTTTCAGTTCATAGTTCTCTGGTTATTTTTACAGCATTTATTTTTGTGGTTTCACTTCCTTTACTGTTTCCTTTCTTTTTCAGTGGCACTTGGGTCTCTTTCTTTTATCTATTTCTCTTCGCTCTCAGTATCTTACTTTAGTATTATATAAGCTAATTGAACGTTACTTTAGCCACATTCCTGTTCCATGATGAAATACCTGTCTGAAGTGGTGTACCAAGGGGCCTTTGTGATGGAGTTGGAAGATACACCCTTGCAAAAAAGAATGTTGGAGGCAATCTAGATTCAAGCTCTGCAAAAATATTTTCTAGACTTTCCCCTCTGCAGTCTTTATAAACTATAGGTGGTCACTTGCATACTAAAAAGGTGGATTTGTCTCGCTGCTGACAGTGAGCTACACTAAGTGCACACACCCCCACAGACACATTCCCTTACAGCCTTGCTCCAGGCCAGAAAATCACCCAGGCCTTCTGCTCTTCCTTATTTATTGCTGGGCAAATGATCCTGGGACTTCCCTCTTTAGAATATGCCACATATACTCTGATCTTTCTCTTCTTCTTTTATGTTCCCTGATAGCCACGTCCCATCCCAACTGTCCTTCAGATAATTTCTCATAGTACTGATCTCTTCACTCCTTTATTTGATTATTTTTTTATTTTTTAGATTTTAAACAGTTCTGTCCAAGTTTGCAGCTCTAGTCTGGTCTCTTACCATGTCCCCACATGCCCTTACTCCCTTTGTTCTACTTGCTATTCCAGCTTTAGTGTCCCCTCATCCATATTTCATTCCTATCTATTAATACCCATATAGCATTTTTCATCTGTAAATTTCTAAGAATTAAGTGCCTGTGGAGAGACCTTCCATATCTGTTCTTCGGGTGACCTCTTTATTCACATTTCTCTGAGACTCGCTTCTATGGTGACCACAAATACTAATCCAAAGGCCTTTTGCATCTAATTGCCAGCCGATTAACTCACCCCCAATACCTGCAAGAAGATCTGTTGAAAACAGAGACATTTCTATTGCAATCAGAGACATTTGGGGGAAAGCACTTTTTCCAGTCAAATTATCTCTTCTGAGTTAACATACTTGAAAAACCTAGAAATGCCACACTCATTTTTTTAGTCTGAGTTTAATGCTATGTTATAGTCACCTCACCAAGCTGAAGTGGTGTTAAATATAGATGATATGCAGTCTTTCCAAAAACAGTAAGATAATTTGACAAGAGAGAACTGGAAAGTTCATATAGAAAGTTCTTTTGGAAATAGATAACTGAATGGTGTAACTCGAATCAGGGCTGAAGAATGAGGGAAATGGTTTTCAGGAGAAGCAGTTGCTTATTTTTATTTGTGCATTTTTAGAGCACCTGAGAACATGTTGGGCTTGTCATTAGTACAAAAAGGCCTTTGGCCCCAACAATCTGATTTTGGACAGTACAAAATGACAGCAAAACAACAAAGAGAACAACAAAACAAAACAGCAAAGAATAGCAGAACTATTGCAAGACACTTGTGCCCGGATTGTCCTCACATTTGCTGCTTCAGCCCTATTCCTCGTTCAAGCGCATCCCCCCGCCCCCTTCTGCATCTTGGCAAGCAAAAGCTGCCTCACTTCTGTGGCTCTTTGCAGCTTATTCCCACCCCATCATCTTTTAATAGCCTATGGAGAAACCAACGGCTTCCCCCCACACATTTCATTCAGTAATAACTCTCTACTTGTTACATGTTCAAACCAGCTTTCCCTCGCTGCTGCTTCGCACTCCCACTCACCTAATTTTCCTCCTTCAAATCCCTCCCTAAAAATCTCCTCTGCTGTGATGTCTACTGAAGGAATGATAATGAATCGTCAGCTGTGTGCCAAGCTGAGTGTCTGTCATGGGGACTGGTCTGATGTGTTGGGCATCCACTGCTTGTAAGGGACTGGCAGTGCCGTGAAGCAGCCCCTCTTTTCACTCTGCTCATTATGGGTCCTGGGATGGGCCCTTAAAACTCATTATCTAAGCAAACAGAAATAAATTGAGGCAATCGAAATAGAAATGGAAATGCTGGCCAAACCCAGGAAGATTAGACAATATTTCAGTTATGATTCATCAGCTTAGGTAAATTTACATAAAAATTAATGTGACTGACAACTCCCTTCATTACAGATACTGAGAAATAAATTATTTTTCTAAATACAGATTTGTGCCGTTTCTCTACTTATTTATAATCTATAAGGACTTGAGGAGTATGCTTTACTTTTTTTATCTGTGCTTGTATTTGAAACATTAGATATTCCATTGTTTGTTTATCTTTCGTTCGCAGCCTGCAAGGCTGTGGTGATTAAAGAACGTAAGAAAGAATAATAACACAAGAGCAAAGACTTAAAAGGAAAAAAGATTCCTGATCACTTTTTTTTTAACATGAGGATAATTCAAATATGTTGAAGATCGAATGATTTGTGTTATATATTTAATACTTCTGATTCAGCTAGAGGTGGCTGCTGTCAATACATGTCTGTCGAAACCCCAAAGATCTTCCAAGAAAATCAATAAAAATCCAATTTTACAATCCTGATATTTTCAGTGTTTAAAAAATTGGCAAAAAAGTGCCCTTTCTTATACATTACAAAAAAGCCAGTAAGGTGCATTATTGATTTTTCACAAATCGTTTGTAAGTGACTGTTAAAGCTGGATGAGAAGGAGAAGATGGAGCATTAGCACGAGTTTTGCGTGCGTTTCACACACCACATGCATGGTGCATGTTGTGGGTCTTCAACATGGGGATTAAAGAATCCAGGTGTAATTGTGTAGAAATCACATAATTACTCTTTTTTTGTATCCTTTTCCTCATGTAGAATAAAGTAGTGCAAGCATTCAAGTATAATTCAACTATGACTGCTGTCAGAGAAGAGGGCATAAAAATGGTTCTGATACAAACAGGGCACTGATGGTGGCTGTGCAAGCAGAGCAGGCAGAATCCAAATTTAAAAAGAAGGAAAAAAAGAAAGAAAATCAAGACTGGTCAGTTTTTAGCCAGGTTGTTATGGTCTGGTGGATTCAGAGAGAAAATTAAATCTGATAAAGAAAGAAAAAGCCAAAATAAAAAACCAAAGCCCAGACTGAG